TTCCTGCTGGTCCAAAAGCAGCTCCACGATGGGCAAGTATCTCTAGAGCAAGCGGCTCTCAAACCGTGACCTGCGGACCACTGCTGGTCCGCGAGCTCCATTCAGGTGGTCTGCAGAAAAGGTGCAGAATAATCAAGAATATCTGTACTTGGCCCTGCACTTGATTATTTTTATTAGTTTATTAAGTGGTCTGCCCAGACCCTCAGCAATTTTCAAGTAGTCTGCCAAAAAAGGAAAGTTTGAGAGCCACTGGTCTAGTGTGACACCCTCGTTTCACTGTCCTAAAGAGCACATGGATTAAGTTGAAGTTACAGCAGGGCTTCTCAACCCTTTTAGGATCAAGGGTGCCACGATCCTTTTACCCAGGAGAACTTTTACCATCTTCTCTCCTATGCCTGAACAAGGGTGCATGTGGCCAAAAGCTTGCAATTTTTTTTTTTTTTGGCAAAAACCTAGTTGGTTTAGTAACAGACATCACCTCTACCAGGAGTCCCAATTCCACGATCCTTTTCAGAGCATTGTGGTATATTAGCAGTGTTAATTGGACAACATTAACACAACTCGAGATACAAGCCCAGAGATTTCAAATAAGAAACCAGCATCAAAAACATACCAAGTTACAGGCTTTCTTCTTTGCAAAGAAGAATTGCCTGATTTTTTTTTAACTACAAACAAGCAATGAAAGCCAAGAGCTGGGGGTGCCTGGGGCCTAAAAAGGGTTGAAAGGCAAGGAGCTAGGCATTTACTTCCAGGATAGTCTTTGGACACCAGAGGTCTCCAGTCTCTCCAGCATCCCCTCCAACACCACATGCCTCCACTGCAGAGGAGAGCTCCAGCCAGGGCAGAGCCCCAGCTTTGTGCCTCCTGGTTTATGTGAAAGTCAGACTGTAGGGACAAAATGCTTAAGAGCAGGTTTCTTTAACAAGTGCTTCGTGGTGCAAGAAGTTAACAAGAAATGGGCTCCAGAGCAGGACCAATTTTGTTGCTTTCATTTTGAGAAAGCACCATTAAAAAAAGAAGCAGCCCAAATCACAAGATTTGAGTAGCAAATGTTATGATATTTAATTGCTGCAGTTTGAAGATGATGCACCTGGTTATCTTATGGTCTATTATTGCAAGTGCTCCCACCCCGAACACATTTCTTCCAAAGAATAGCAGGTCTCTGAAAGAGTTCATTATTCACTCCTCACTGGGTCCGTGCTCAGGTATCTCTGCAGAATTAAGTCATGGTCTCTGTATTGAGGCATGAGTTCAAACCCCACTGCTCACCCAAGGTGGGGCAAGGGAGACAAGACACCTGCAGCCATGGTGTGGGTTGCAATCTTGCTTGCCCCAAGGACTGTACTGTCCAGCTTTGTACAGCTTGTATAATGGATGTAGATGACCAGGACACACACACCCACACACACTGCATTTCCTGTATTTTTTCTGAAGTTTATAAGGCACCACCCCAGTAGACAAAAACACCAGCTGTCCTTCTGCTAGTTTTAGGGAGTATAATGATCACAGGAAGCAAAACAAAAAGGAAAGGATCTTTGAGGGTAGCAGCTCTGGGCTATCACTCATCATGATATTCAGCTGTGAAGAGACTAGACCAGTGCTTTCCACCTTCCACAGCATAACCCCATTTCCTCAGTAGGACCCCTCACTCCCAGCCCACAAGCCCATCCCCTGGTGTTGTGACCCCCATTGGAGTCACAACCCCCACTTTGAGAACCACTGAACTAGATAAGGGTTAGAGACATGGTGTTGAATCCTTTTCCCCCCAAAACAGAAAAACTTCAAGCCCTTTCAGAAGGGAATGGGATTATTCATCCCCGCTACTGCAGGATGTTGAGGTCTCCTTGCCAGTTTATGCAGTTTAGGCTGATTGGATTTGCATGCAGGAATAGTGCCAGTTGGTTTGCAGCTGAAGTATTTTCCCACTATTGGAGAGGTGAAAGATTTGCTTCAGTTCCTCCAATGCAAAAAATAATAAAGTTGAAACAGGACAAAACCACATGCATGCACGTGAGCACAAAGAGAGCTTTATAAAACCATAGCTCATTTCCATAAGCCATGTGGCTGTTGGGAAGGTGGTAGTTCAGTCTAAGTGTGGAAAGTATAGTGCCTTTGTTATAGGCACCACTCTCAGAAGACCTCTGGCCTAAACTGGATAGCTGCCCCTACTA